TCAATGATAAGGTTTTTCCTTTATTAGTTGAAATACAAAGAAGGCATAGGGGATCCCAGGAAAATAACACTATATATCAGAAAATTCAACGTGCTCCACCATCAGGATTTCCATTACACATTTAATTTCTTCTGTACAATTTTTATAAACTTGTTTTTCTTTTCAAAGTCATCAGATTTCCAGATTAAATTCAGCACTACACAGTATGCCCTTGAAGTAAAATGAGGTTACCTGCTTTATTTGGATACCAAGTTCCCTTCCAGACAGCATTAAAATAAAGACAAGTAAGACTACACAGATAAAATCCAGTATAGTTCAAATCCAACAATGAAAAATTTCCCCCATATTGTTGCAAAATTCTTTCTACTGAAATGCTTTGCTACAATAATAAAAAGCATACATTACATATAAAAGATACCAGTGTACTAAAAAGTGACAGAAGTGGACTAGCAAATCCTTCAAAGCACATTATATAAATGACTAGCATTTAAAAACATTTTCCTATAAAATGTAGGTCATATACATTTATAAATTGGCGAGTTTATTTCTAAAGCAGTGATGTGTGTGTGTTCAAATAGTTAGCTGTTCTGTACAGTATAATATCTACTCAATTCAAACTACAATAGGTTTGTCTTTCTTGGTATTAAGTTGAATAAATTCATCTGATCAGCTGAGAAACCAAGGTTGAAAAATAAGTATCTAAAAATCAAAGTAGAAAGTTCAGAATTGTTGAAATGTAGCTATGAAATATGAAGAGAACTATTTCACAATGGAGCTGAAGTCACCTCAAAACTTATGGGCTTGAATCTAAAACAGAAACAAATATTAAAATCCAAAGCAAACCACAAAGTTAGGTAGCAGTACAGAAGCAGGAAAAAAACCCACAGCCCCTTCCTTCAGTGTGATGGGCACTGAGTTCTGCAGTCTTCCTCCATCGTGCAGAAGAGTGGTAAGGCCATTCAATGCTTAGTGAGAGTGAGTACAGATGAAGTCAGATTTAGCCTGTCTCCCCTGCAACTTCAATTATGCTGTGTAAACAGTGTTACGTTCCAAAAGGAGGAACAATGGAATTTGCTTATAAAAACTGATTAAAGATAATCATTATTAAATGAAATAAAGATAATAACTGAAATGTTTTTAGAACTTTCCTGATGCTACTTGTAAAGTTAGCACTGCTATGTATTATTGCTTACATACAGTACAACATCATATGCCTTCTAACATAAAGCAGTACTGTGATTTGTTTGTACATATTTACAGATTCTTAAAAACAAGCTGTAAAAACATTACATACTTTCAGACAATACAAATTAGCACATTGGTACTCACTTCAAAACAAATGGAATGCATAACATTAATAAAACATCATAAAGGAAGACTCACATAAAAGTCCTTGATTGTCAAGACACGTTTATATATAAACTCTAACTGTGCAGAATTAAAGATTCAATCATAGGTACATCCTTATTTGATGAACCATATTTACAGCATGGTATTGCATAAAAAAATAAAATAATGTTTACAGGGTTTTACTTTTTTATCCATTGGATTAAAGAAAGCAACAAACACAATAAGAAATGTTTGTCTGCTGTAGTTTTGTTTCCTACTAAAGTTTAAGTGAAAGAGGAAACATCCGTTTTTTATTTGCAGAATATAGCAAAAACTGGAAAATTATTTCCCTGAAATAAAGCAATTTGAAACGGAAAAAGTTTAAATTAAATTGCAGAGTCAAAAAGTTTCTCATCGATTATAATAGTGCTTCAAGTAAATATACTGTGAAAAAACGAGTTCTAGTTTAAAATGTTCTAAGAAATGTAGTTTTACAGTAATGCCTACTTTTAAGTTTCCCGGCTTTTTTTTTTTTTTTAAACAGCCCTTTAAAAACCCAAATTAATAAAATGAAAGAAGTGGCAAAAGATCTAACCTAGCTGGCACTTTGCAAGCTTCTCTGGCCTGTGGAAATGAAAGCCTACCCTGAGCACAAGGCCTCTTTTGCCTCTCAGAACGAGAAAATTACCCGACCACTGGCAGTCCTCACTCAGCCAGAGCTAAGAGGATGGATTTCTGCGGTATCAACTAGAAAATCTGCAAGCAGATCCAAATTTAAGAGCCACTTCAAATATTCTGAACTAAATGAAATATGTATACAGTAAGTTAAAAAACAAACGCGCTTTTAGAAGATGTTCAAGAGATATTACTTCATCTAATGTGATCTGTTTCCAATCTTCAAATGTGAGAACAGGTCCTAAGAAAGCACACCTCGGCTCACATTTCGCCAAGTTTAAGGATGTAAGAGCATGTTTTCACAGAACAATTTGCTCACCAAAAGAAATGAAAAAACAAAACAAAACCCAAATTGCAAAAGGATATCCTCAATATTCTGATTTAAAGCAGCACAAAAGGCTACTTGCTTTCTCTATTAATGCCCAGATATAAATTAAGTAATTTTCTGAAGCAAAATGGGGAAACCCAACTGTTGAGATGTTTATCATATGATGATAATATTAATACACGGTAACTCTGGTAGGCATGTAAAATTTCACAGTAAAGAGAGTAATGACTATACTTTAAGTGGTAAGTCAGTAAATTATGCCAAAGTATCATTTACCTCAAAATATGCTTCTAATGTGGTAGAAAAGCCTGCCATTATGTAGATGTAAAGAAATGAGGCGAACACAGAAATGCAACACCTGAACTTCTTTCTACTTGCATTGACTGCCACTTTTCAAAGGCTTACTGCTCAGCAGTAGAGCCACATTCTAAAAACTGTGCTGGTGATGTTAACATAAACCAAAATCCCCACTTTATTCTGTACCAAGTTCTCAACAGAACAGAAATTCTGATCAGGCTCAAAACAAAAAAACAACTCAGGACATCAATGCCTACTATCACCCAATAAGTAGTATAAGAAAAGCACAAATGCCTATTCCTACAGAGAGCAGTTTCATTGTTAACATCTCGCCTGAATGATGACTTCTTGAGGTTGTGATGTGCAACGCAAGACACACCATTCTTAAGAGTCAATAATGGCAAAACTTAAATATATACTTCAAAGAAGTCTAAAATTCTTGAAAAATTTGGCAGCAAAGAAAGCTGTCAAATGGGAAAGTTTCAAGCAAAGTTTAATAACCAAAGTATAGAGGAAACCACATTAAACATAATTTATATTCCTTATCATAAAATACCATATATTCAAAATAAATGTAAAAGATGTTAAGGTTAGATATTTCTTTGTTCCCTTTCTTTATGAGAACAGTCTTGGGATAACATTAAATAAAAGAAAAAATAATTTAAAATGTAGAACATTCTATACTGAAACAAAGACTGAAGATCTATAAGGCCAATATAAAAGCTAAAATGGAAATTAATAATAAAGTTGCATCTTCAAGGGGTTATTAATTTTAGATTACTGATGCTCTATCAGTATGTGTGCATTGTGACAAAGATGGTGGAAATTTAAAATAAAAAACCAAAAAGTTGGAACAAATTAAAGAGGATAATAAAATCAATATAACTGTTATTTTCCAAAAATTAGAACTGTCCAATGTGTAACTCAAACCATCATTCTTTAGAAAAGTATATATATATATATATATATATAATATGTATATATATAAAAGCACTATTTATTGTACCATGCTGTATTAAGACAAAATATTAAAAAAAACATTCGTGGTATAAGGATAAAGTCTGTAGTTTATTTAGATTTTGAAATGCAACAAAAGGTTTCCGATCACTCATCTAGCTGAAAAAGAAACTGTAGTTACTAGAATTAGTAAACACTTTTGGTTTGTAAAATTGTAATGAGCAGTGTTCATTAAAAAGTAACTCAAGATAAAATAAGCAATTAAAATGCCCATTTCTTTAGTTTCTCTGGATACTGTTTAATTATCCAATCTATCAAGATTCTAGAAAGAGAAGGATTAAACCAGATTTTACAGTTCCAAAGATACCCAATTTCCTTTTATTGCCAAAAATTAAAATTTTCAATTATGAGATGATTATGACACAACCATATCAAACCTAAAAATCTAAATTTTTTTTTATTTTGAGAAATCAAAAATACCAAATAGATTCTAAGTGCTCTATGTTAACTGAAGTGTATATGTAAAGTAAAATACAATTAAGCTTTAAAACGTGGAATATACATTTTGTATAAGCATTATGTTCTTGGGAATGTAATCTACAGAGGATCTTCTTACTAAAACTTCAAAACCTTGATACTTGCACATGAAAAAATCATAAAAAATATCTAGGTACAACTGTACAAAGAAACTGACACCAATATGCATACTTCCATATAGAAGTGAATGCTTCAACAGTTGTGTATTTTGGTAAAAGTTTTGAAAGTATGCATATTTTTTAAAGTAATTAGGCTTTTAAATAGTGGAGTCTTAGACTATCAGATTTTTATTACTTTTCAAAAAAGAAAAAGTCAATATAATGCAAAATGAAAATCAAGGGTATATGGCATATCATTCTTTAAAAGGTGGTTTCTTTTTTCCCCTCATAGGACACACTAATTTATTTAAGCCATAATCTCTGACATTTAAACTTTTAAGTTCACTCTGTCTGTAAAGTATACTCAGATTCCCTGCTGAAGTGCCATGACTATGCTGAAAAACTTAGAAACAGTATGAGTAAATTTCACACAATTACTAATCTCCTAAGAATGTACAATGATATCAGTTAGGAAACAATTGTGCGAAAGTCTTTTTTTTTTTTTTTCTTTTAAACTTGGTGTAGGTGGAATAGCAAGTTTCTGATCTAAAACAAGTAATGCATTGCTTCTGTAAAGGTGACAACATGTAAGGCAGTTCAAAGAATGCTGACTAACCAAACAAAACGCAGTTATTGGATTATCTTGCTATTCATATCAGCTTAACTTGTTATAACGCATTGCTCTTAAATCTGTACAGCACTCCATTTTACACAGAGTAACCCCACTCTTGATTAATCTGTTCTAAAGTGCCAGTATTATTTACACTTTTTTTTTTTTTTTAGCCAAAAGTCTGGCCAGTTGTAGCATCAGGTGAGGATGTCATCCCAGCTCTATTATCATTTACATTCACCAAGGGAAATTCTGGAAATTCAGCACTTGTCCCTGGTCCCCGAAGGTTCACCTGTCCATTGGCAGTGCTAAACTGGGTAGCTATTCCAGCTCTGGATCCATGATACGGAGCACGGAAGGGTTGTTCAAAAGAGCTCATTTGGTAAGCTTGGTGGACAGGCTGAGCCTCAGCTTTCTTCTGAGAAGTCACTTGATCCAAAAAGTCCTGTGTTGATGTGGCAGAAGCATGGTTTGTCTCATCACCTGAAAAGGGAAATGAGTGCTGTGAATCACCAACTATGAGTCCAAAGTGGGACTTATCCGGAGTTGTTCTTAGTGGAGAATTCATTCCTGATCGAAAGCTATTGATGGGCATGGCTGCATAGACTTGCTTGTCTATGGAAGAGAATGCTGGCTGATTTGGAAGGGTCTGGTTATCAGTCACAAAGTTAAGGCTCGGGCTATTCAAATAGGCATCATTTTGGCTAGTTCTGTCCAAAGCCTGCTGCAGAAACTTTGAGTATTCCTGCAACATGTTGGCTTTATCTGATGAGGATGCTTGGGAGCTTGATCCAACATTCTCCGACTGGGTAACCTCAGGTACTTCTGAAGAATTTATTGATATGCTAGAAGTCACCTCAGTGTCCGCAACACTGAATGATATCTCATGCTGTCCATTAGCTTTATGGGAATAATGATCCAACAGAGTCTGTAGTACCTCATCTGGAATAACATTTTTGTCATGATTACTCTTTATCTCCACATTCAGTGCCTGTGAATCTAATATGGATGCTGTGGTACTCTCATCAATGACACTTGCCACAGCTGCTTGTGTTACAGAAGGCTGAGAAGCTATAGTGCCCACATTCAGCGCATACTCCCTACTATTGTTACTCGCTGCCTGAAGATACCGCTTCTTCTTCAAAAACTGCATGGCATCATCATAGTTAGTGCTACTGTGCACAGGTTTACTGGGCCCCTCTTGCAAATTGTCAACCTGGTCAATATCAGCATTGCCTTCTGAGTCCAGTAAAGCTTGTTTGTCCACAAGTTCAAAAGCATATTTTGAAACTTTGCTCTCTTCGTATGTGGATAAAGGTGAAATAGTTTGATTCTGCTCCAATGGCTGTTTCAGACTTCTCTTACTATTAATTTTTTTGAGAACCAACTTAGGTGGATGTATTTCTCCTGATGCATCTTCTAAATGCGATCCCCCAACTGAGGAATGTGGCATTTCCACAGCATACTCTGCTACCATATACTCATCTTTCACTTTAGTACTTGAAGAGTAAAGAGGCAAGTAATCATTTTTGTCTTTCTTCAGGTCAGATTTGTCCAAAGAACTCTCTTTGTCCATCCCGGATGATTTTTTCTCAGTTTTCTGCCTTTTCTTTTTTGGCAGTGAGTTATCTTTTGGTGATGTAGAAAAGCCAGAATCTTCCTCGGATGTCAGAAGGCCACCTTTGATGGCACATCTGTTTAGTTTTTTATCATGATTTTCATGGCACATACGTTTATGTTTCAAAACACGATCTGTTCTGGAAAAATACTGTCGAATTCAAAGTTCAGAAGAGAGTTTTTTGTTTTAGTTTTGTGTTTTGGTCAACCAAGAAAAGAAAAGAAAAAAAGCAATTAATATAAAGATAGATATAAGTGTAACAATATGAGCAACTCTAAACTAATTTCCTGAGCCAACTGTCTATTATAAATTGAATCAACAACGGTTAGGAAATTCTTCAAATAGCTTTACTAACACTGTCTAATTTAATTCTTAAGAAATATTTTATAACTGAATTCCAGACAGAAAACTTTCAATGTCAGTCATGCCTCAATAAAGTGACTTTTTAAAAAATTCAAACCACATCTTACCTGTAAACAGTATTCACACTGGTAAGGTTTTTCTCCACTATGAGTTCTCTTATGCCTTTCCATATGATATTTTTGAATGAATCTCATACCACATTCATCACAACGAAATGGTTTTTCACCTAGTATATGATACATAAAGTTTAAAACAAAACAAAAACTATGAAATATAAGTTAGTGAATTACTTTACTACAAGAATCTCTAATAAGTTACTTTACCACAAGAACGCTGCCATACTTTGTTCTTTTTAAATGACATTAAGTCTTTATTCTAAATATATCTTCCAATTTATTTTGTCAAGAATATCTTGCTTTACAAAAATGAAAGAGAGTGGCACATGCCATTGAAAAGACAAGACTGAAAGCACACATACTCAATTTCCCGGCATTTTATTATATGTATGCATAACATACTCTTTCTACAGAGACCAGTATTACTAAGAACTTAACAGTAATATGAACAGGTCTCAGTAGAGTGGCTAACATCTCTCATCTTTTTTTCAATCATACAAAAAACATTTTAGAAAAATTTTTGAAAAAGAAAAGGTTACCCATACACAGACCAACACAATTCTTGAGTATTATATCTTTTTAAATTAATATCTTTTCAAAGATTTTGTGGTTAAATAAAATCTAAATCCTAAGAAAATATATTTTAAATCTAATTTATTAAAACATAAAACAAGTCACCTAATTAAACTTAAAAACATAAAACAAGTGTAAATCAGAGGCTAGGTTTTAAAAGTAATGTTTGTTTATATTGATTCTCTTTTCCTCAACTCAAATGAGCATTTTTCAAGTCCTTCTGGGAAAGAATTAAAATGAGCAATGTTGACTGGACACAGAACCGCCCCCCCCACCTCCAATTTTTTTTTAAATGACAAAAGGACTTCTTAGCTTGAAGGAAGCATCTTATGAAAATCTAAAAGTTTTTACTGATAAAGCCACAGCCTACATAAACAGAAGAAGTCACACAAGCCTACATAAACATAAGAAGTCACACCCTTCACCTGTTTGGAAAACCACTGCTTCTACTTTTCATATAGTCAACAAAAATTTTACTGAATTCTTCTCCTCTACCCATAATCCCTCTGTAAGAGGTTAAAAGTTTAAGACTTGTTACTTGTCCTCAAAGCGTTTATAACATAATTTAGCTCTCTTCTTGACCTTTTCCTCCAGTCAAATTGAAGAACCTACCATCCTCATGCTTTCCTACTTGTGCCTGCTTCATGCTGCTCCTAAAGTCCACTTCTGTGTTTTCAGGTACTACGCTTTCCTCCAGGACCAACCCATCTGCTCAAAGGGATACTTTGCCCTATTCTCCCAGAGGAAAGGTATTTATCTTCTTTGTTGTTGTTCAGTTGCTAAGTGTCTGACTCTCTGCAACCTCCAGGACTGCGGGACTGCAGCACACCAGGCTTCCCCGTCCTTCACTATCTCCTGGAATTTGCTCAAACTCATATCCATTGAGTCAGTGATGCTATCCAACCATCTCATCCTCTATCGTCCCGTTCTCCTCCTGCCTTCAATCTTGACCAGCATCAGCGTCTTTTCCAATGAGCTGCCTCTTCGCATCACATGGCCAAAGTACTGGAGCTTCAGCTTTTGCATCAGTCCTTCCAATGGATATCCAGAGTTGATTTCCGTGAGGACTGACTGGTTTGATCTCCTTACAGTCCAAGGGACTCTCGAGAGTCTTCTCCAACACCACAGTTCAAAAGCATCAATTCTTTGACACTCAACCTTCCTTATGGTCCAACTCTCACATCTGTACATGATGACTGGAAAAACCATAGCTTTGACTAGATGGACCCTTGTCAGCAAAGAGATGTCTCTGCTTTTTAATATGCTGTCTAGGTGTATCATAGCTTTTCTTCCAAGGAATGTCTTTTCATTTCATTAAATTATCATCAAATTATCTTCTTTAACTTGCCACAGAACTGTAGCTGTACCTTTCCTAAGGCACTCATTACTTTCATCTCAATAATTAGTCTACAACTCTACTCTTTTACTAAATTTCTTTAGGTCAGAATTGGGACCCAAATTATCTTTATGTAGCTCAAATTACTTTGGGCAATTTTTTAAGTGCCACATGAATGGCATAAAGGATTATTACAGAGGCTCATTAGTGGAAAAAGACATTATCATGAACTGGTATGATTTGGAAAAGTTTCTTGGAAGTGTCAGACTCTATGCTGAGCAGTCATTAAAAAGATTGTGTATATGTGATTAAAGCCAAGAAAAGAATATTTAGTGGGGAATAACAAAGCAAGTAAGGGTTTAGATATTATAAGATATACTGGAGAATCACAACAAACTGTGAAAAATTCTTAAAGATATGGGAATACCAAACTACCTGACCTGCCTCCTGAGAAATCTGTATGCAGGTCAAGAAGCAACAGTTAGAACTGGACATGGAACAACAGACTGGTTCCAAATAGGGAAAGGAGTACATCAAGGCTGTATACTGTCACCCTGCTTTTTTAACTTATATGCAGAGTACATCATGCAAAATGCCAGGCTGGATGAAGCACAAGCTGGAATCAAGATTGCCAGGAGATATATCAGTAACCTCAGATAGACAGATGACACCACCCTTATGGCAGAAAGTGAAGAAGAACTAAAGAGCCTCTTGATGAAAGTGAAAGAGGAGAGTGAAAAGGCTGGCTTAAAACTCAACATTCAAAAAAAGATCATGGCATCCAGTCCCATCACTTCATGGCAAATAGATGGGGAAACAATGGACACAGTGACAGACTTTATTTTTGGGGGCTCCAAAATCACTGCAGATGGTGACTGCGGCCATAAAATTAAAAGACGCTTGCCCCTTGGAAGAAAAGCAATGACCAACCTAGACAGCATATTAAAAAGCAGAGGCATTACTTTGCCAACAATGGTCCATCTAGTCAAAGCTATGGTTTTTCCAGTAGTCATGTATGGATGTGAGAGTTGGACTATAAAGAAAGCTGAGTGCCAAAGAATTGATGCTTTTGAACTGTGGTGTTACAGAAGACTCTTGAGAGCCCCTTGGACTTCAAGGAGATCAAACCAGTCAATTCTCAAGGAAATCAGTCCTGAATATTCACTGGAAGAACTGATGGTGAAGCTGAAACTCCAACACTTTGGCCACCTGATGCAAAGAACTGACTCATTGGAAAAGACCCTGATGCTGGGAAAGATTGAGGGCAGGAGGAGGAGGGGATGACAGAGAATGAGATGGTTGGATGGCATCACTGACTCGATTGACATGAGACTGAGCAAGTTCTGGGAGTTGGTGATGGACAGGGAGGCCTGCCATGCTGCAGTCCATGGGGTTGCAAAGAATTGGACACAACTGATCGACTCAACTGATATTGGAGAAATGGTGCCTAAGAAGAGACTTTAACTTGGCAATAAGTCAACTATTTGAAACTTTCAAGAATGCAGCTTCTGTAATTGCTATGGAGTTAACTAAATTTTAGGGCTGAAGGGACTTTGCAATGACTTCAAACTGTCCTCCTGGGAGCTCCACAGAGGCCCCCAAAGGCTAATATGGCAAATGGCTCTAAGCTTCCACCCAGAATTCAGGAGCAAATAGTTCCACTTCTGTACACAGGGGGCCTGAGTCAGGGGGCCTGAGTAAGGACGCCAAGGGTTTCGAGACTAGAATGAAGAACCTAACACAACTAACCTCTACCAATTTACTTATCATTACAAAAACAAAGTCCAGAAAAGTTAAGGTACTTGTCCAACAAAAGCTGGGAGAGAAGACCACTTACTAAGAAGCTTCAAAGTGAAAGAAATGAGAAAAAGGAGATGAGAATAGACAGTCCATTCAAGACTAAGAATTGTTAAGGGTGGGGAACTTAACTAAAACTGAAATGGACTATTATAGTGACTAATCAAAAGAACAAGATCTCAGAGGAAGTAGGATGAAAAGGGAGAATACAAGTATTTTTTAAAAGGTAAGAATAGATGCATATTTTGAAGTAAAAAGATGTATATGATAGAAAACATTAAGATCAGAAGTTAATTAAGATCATTTTTCAAAAGTGAGAGAGGATAAATGGAAAATTAGTGAATGAATTAGAATTCAATTAATTCTCCATGATAAGACTTTAATATTGTTAATAATGATATAACACCTCACACTGGTCAAAGTAGAAGCTGACAAACTGATCCTAAAATTCAAATGGAAATGCAAGGGATTCAGAACAGCTAAAGCAATTTTGAAAAAGAAAACTCAGATTTCCCAACTTCAAAACTTACAGCCAAAGGCATAAGGAGACATACATATGAAAGAATAGAACTGAGAGTCTAAAAATAATCTTTACATTTACAGTTAACTGACTTTTCATTATAGTCACACCAAGATATTTCAGTGGGGAAAAAGTCCTTTCAACAATAATACTGGGACAATTTGATGCCTATATGCAAAAGAATGGGATTGGACCTCAACTTCACATTGCATACAAAAATTAACTCAAAATAGATCATAGGCCTAAATGTGAAAACTACAACTATAAAACTCTTTAATATATGAATAACTCTTGACTTAAGATTATGTAGGCAATGACTTCTTAGATATCACACCAAAAGCATAAGCAACCAAACATAAAATAAATAAAATATACCTCATCAAAATGAACCTTTGTTCTTCGAAGGACAGTATCAAGAAAGTGAAAAGACAAAATGCTGTGGTAGCTGCTCTGAGAAATAGTTTGCCAAAATGTTAAACTTAGAATTACCATACAAGCCAACAGTTCTACTCCTAGGTATACACCCCAAAGAACTGAAAGCAAGTATTCATTCAGAGATTTGTATACCAATGCACATAACAGCATTATTCACAACAAACAAAAGATGGAAACAACCCACGGGTCCATCAACAGATGAACAGATAAACAAAATGTGATATACAGAAGATGGAATATTTTTCAGCCACAAAAAGAAATGAAATTCTGACACATGATATAACATGAATGAACCTTGAAGAAATTATACTAAGAGAAAGAAGCTAGACAGAAAAAGAACAAATACTGAGTGACTCCATTTATATGAAATACCTAGAACAGGCAAATTCACAGGGACAGAAAGTAGAATAAAGGTCACCAGGGATTGGAAGAGAGAGGAAGGGAGGGTT